CCCCTGCCCCTATTTTTTTCCTGCTAAGTTAGCACCACTGTCCCAAAACTCTGTCCTGTCTCCAGGTCGCCAGGCTCTGGGGCATCCAGAAGAACCGGCCGGCCATGAATTATGACAAGCTGAGCCGCTCGCTCCGATACTACTATGAGAAGGGCATCATGCAGAAGGTGGGGGGCTGCGGGCCCAAGGATGGGGGCCTCAGGGGGGCAGGGGAGCATTTCCCAGCAAGTCTGTGGGAGCAGGTAATGAACTTGTCAGAGGGAACGAGAAGTAGTGGACAAGATTTCCTGCTCCCAAAAAAGTGCCACACGGTAACCAGAAAGGCCTGAGCGTGGAGGCAGTGAGATGGGAGCACGAGAACTGCGCCCCCCCCCCCCCCCCGGCCCGGGCTGCGTCCCCCACCCCATGCTGACCCAGAGGGCGAGCTAGGCCCACCCAGCCCCTCTCTCCCCACAGGTGGCCGGCGAACGCTACGTGTACAAGTTTGTGTGTGAGCCCGAGGCCCTCTTCTCTCTGGCTTTCCCGGACAATCAGCGTCCAGCCCTGAAGGCCGAGTTTGACCGGCCAGTCAGTGAGGAGGACACAGTTCCTTTGTCCCATTTGGACGAGAGCCCTGCCTACCTCCCAGAGCTAGCTGGCCCCACCCAGCCCTTTGGCCCCAAGGGTGGCTACTCTTACTAGGCCTGGCTGCTGCTCCCCTGCCACGGGTGGGTGCTATCTTGTGTACATATAGATGCATTTGGTGTTGGGGAAACCCTCACTCTGAAACCCACAGATGTCTTTGGAGCAGATCCCCACTGGCCCACCTGTCGCCCCTGCCCAGACTCTGAGCTGCTCACCAGAGTCGTTGGGAAGGAAAAATGGAGACACTGCAAGTGCAAAGGTGGGGTCCAGGAGCTCCTCTGGGGGTGTCGCCTCCAGCCTCTTCCCAGGCCCTGCTTAGAAGCCCAAGCCGCACTCCTCTCCCCCAACACAGAGGATGAGAGTTCACTCTGTTCTGGGTGACAGAGAAGGAGCGTTCCACTTTATCATGGTGGAAAGGGGTGCACGAAGCTTCCCAGAGTCTCCATGGTGGGCAGACAGAAGCCTGCATCCTGTACTCCGCTCCAAGCTGTGACCCTGGAGGGTCCTGCTTGTCCATTCTTGGTGCTCCGTGTTCTGAGAGGCAGGAGGCTGGAGTCAGGGGCTAGGGGCAGGGGAGGGGCTGCAGGGTGGAGGCCAGGTGGGCTGGGTTCCTGCTTCTAGGGCCCTTTGCCTTTTCTCTGCCTAGGATTCCACCTCCACCTCATCTGCCAGACCCCAATAAAGGCCCCTGCTTCTCCTCTTAGTTGTCCTGTGTCATTTTTACTACCATGGGAGAAGGACCCGGAGGTTCAGAAAGAGCTTTGGCCTTGGGACAGATGACCAGGGTTGGGGTCTGGCCCTGACACTTCCCAGATGGATCTGGGAAGCCAGTTAACCTCTGACTTTTCCTCTGAAAAATGGGTTCAGTGATACCTGTTCTTTCCCCCTCTGGTGCTCCCAGGCCACTGGCTACTGAGCTTTGAGGCCCTCTGAGTCTCCCTCAGGCAGAGTTTGGCCTGTGGTTTCTGTGCTGCTGTTCCCACGACTGAGCTACCTAGGTCTACACCCCAACTGTGTGTCCTGCCCCCCCTTTTAAGACTTTATTTATTCATTCATGAGAGACAGAGAGGAACAGACACAGGCAGAGGGAGAAGCAGGATCCATGCAGGGAGCCCACGTGGGACTCGATCCCGTGTCTCCAGGATCACACCCTGGGCTGAAGGCGGCCGCTAAACCGCTGAGCCACCTGGGCTGCCCTCCTGCCCCCCTTCTGCTGGGACTCCAGGATTCTGTTTTTGCTGAAGCTGGGAACAAGTGTTTATAATGGAGATGGTCTGGAGAATGGGGGGAGAAGGCACCCGGGCAAGGGGGTGCAGGTAGAGGCTGGAGCAAGTCCTGTGTTCTGGCCAATGAAGGAAGAGGACACTGGATCTTCAGGGAAAGGGGAGTAGAAAAACATGTGCTACTTTCCCAGATTTAAATGCTGGGGCCCTTCTCTGTGGATGAGTGGGAAAGGAAAGGTTGAGAAAGCAGTTAACACCTAGGGAGACAATAGACCTCACAAGGGATTCAGGTGTGAGGGGCAGGATGGAAGGCTCTGGTGAAAATGCACTCCACTTAGAACTGCAGCCCTGTGGAGGCTGCGCTGGCCCAGCCCTCATGAAGACTTAACCAGCTTGGATCCCTAGCGTCCAGCCTTCAAAGGAAGGGATGCCTGTCAACCACTACCCACAAATAAAAAGCAACATTGTTTTCTTAGAAACTGAAAACATCAACCTACTTTTAAAATTCAGAGCAAGGAACAGAACATTTTAAAATGCAAGTTTTCAAAAATATACATGTTTTTTAAAAATACATAAATGTTTTAAATACGTAATTTAATTCCACATTAAAGCCAGGTTATCGGGATCCCTGAGTGGCGCAGCGGTTTGGCGCCTGCCTTTGGCTCAGGGCGCGATCCTGGAGACCCGGGATCGAATCCCATTTCGGGCTCCCGGTGCATGGAGCCTGCTTCTCCCTCTGCCTGTGTCTCTGCCTCTCTCTCTCTCTCTGTGTGACTATCATAAATAAATAAATTAAAAAAAAAAAAAAAAAAGCCAGGTTATCTTAGGGGGAAGCTGGAGAAGTCAGTGGAAACCCTGAGGTCCTGAGTCTTGCATAAAGGGGTGACAGAGGGATCCCTGGGTGGCGCAGCGGTTTGGCGCCTGCCTTTGGCCCAGGGCGCGATCCTGGAGACCCGGGATCGAATCCCACGTCGGGCTCCCGGTGCATGGAGCCTGCTTCTCCCTCTGCCTGTGTCTCTGCCTCTCTCTCTCTCTCTGTGCTATCATAAATAAATAAAAATTTAAAAAAATAAAAAATAAAAAAAAATAAAGGGGTGACAGAGATTTGGATGAGAAGCAGTATCCACAGCTTGAGACATGTGACCTCTACCCTCTCAAGTGTTTAACACGCCACTCCTCACAGCTCTTTGTTCAAATCCTTAACCTTGGAGGGCCACTACTGGGAGGAGGCAGTCAAGCTCCAGGCTGGATGAAGGTGAACCCTGGACCGAGAAGCCTGACGCAGCTGGAGAGTTTACACGAGCCCTGCTGGGATGGTTCCCCCACATACACAAGCACACTCTGCACATGTACAGGGGCAGGAAACTCCTGAGCGAGGCTCCTGCAGGGCTGTGGTGAGTGGCCTAGAAGATTCCAGCTCTCTGCAGGAGACCCACATCCTCTCCTAGGCTGTCACTCAATCTCGGGGAAATATTGTTTCAAGGAAGAGAAACAAGGGCCCCATTGTGTGGGAGCAGCAGGCAAGTCCTTCCCAATCTGGGCCTTTTCTCCCTCTGAGCAGGCTCAATAATGCTGCCCACATGCTGTTTCCTGATGGACAGTCTCAAGGTCAGACCCTAGCCATACAGACAGCGCAGAGAAGTGACCCCAGCTCATGGGGTAGATGTTCAAGGAACACCCAAAGAGCTAGTGTCCTTTTTTCTGCTCAACTAATCCACCAAAGATGACTAGGCCTGCTGTCTCTCACTCTTCTCAACCTCAGCTCAAATCCCAAACCTCTCCACCCCACTGCCTTAACAACCTCCTACGGGCAATGCCTCCAGGGCTGGTCACTCAGCTGGGGCAGGTGGCTGCCAAGCCTTGAGTTTGTCCCTGAAGTGGAGACTGGGGAGCTGTGTGCCCACCTCTGCTTTACTTTGGGTTTCCTCTGTAGGCCCCTGCCTCTCTCTCCTGATAAGGCCTTAAAGGTAAACACACAAAGATCCCCTGCCCATAATTACTGGCCTGGCTTCCTGAGGAACACTTGAACAAATTAGCCCATGGAAGGGGCAGGGACCTCAGTCAGCAAATGTACTGGCCTTTATTCCTCTGGGCGGGATCCTCTGAACTGTCTTTAGGGTGGTCAGTTTGCTGCCCAAGACAGCCTACATTCTATTACATCCTAGAATGTCCTAGAATCTTTAAGCATCTGGTGTACCATTCCATAGTTCTAGTATTTATATCATTCCAGAACTTACTAGAGTCGGGATGAAAAAGGCAGTGGAGGCCATTATATCTGATGTGCCCAATCCCCCAGGGGCTTCTCTACAAGCTCCACACCCAGACCCACTTTCCAGAGGCTTCACAACCTGGCCGGGCAGCATGTGTCTGGTGTTCTTTTGAGTTGAGCACTTCCTGAGGAACTGTGAGAGGGCCACTGGGAGGTGGCTATTCTCCAACCAGAATGCTATGAGAAACTCACTTGGCAATAGCAGCACCAACTGGCTGAGAGGGGTTCCATAGGCTTTCCGTTCGTGGTGGGGGACAAGAGGCTTTGACCATAAATACCCTCTGGTGGCCCAGCGGTTTAGCACCGCCTTAAGCCAAGGGCGGGATCCTGGAGACAGGATCCAGTCCCACGTCAGGCTCCATGCAGGGAGCCTGCTTCTCCCTCTGCCTGCGTTTGTGCCACTTTCATTGTGTGTCTGTCATGAATAAATAAGTAAAATCTTAAAAAAAAAAAAAAACCTCTGTGAATGCCCATTGAAGACCTGGGGGCGTGGGTGGGGGGAATAAAAACAAAAGCTGTGACATCGCTTGCATGTTTCAAAAGGAAAAAGGGGCATGCTACACACTGTGTGGCATGCAGAGGAGGGAGCTAGGGAAAGTGTTCTGTATTCAATATGCTGCATCTGTTACCACTCAAGTGCCCAGACAGGGGCAGTGGATGTGGTTAATCATGGGGCCACGCGGCAGAGCTGGGCTCACGCGGGTATCAACAGATAGGACTGCAGGCCTGGCCTATGCGTCACCCCCGAAACCAAAGAGCCCCAGAGCTCTGATTACAGGGGACTCTCTACCATGTGCACCAAAGCCACCAATTTCCCCACCCACCCTGAGCCCAGGCCAATATCCTAACCTTTCAGTTAGAAGAAACAGCCACAGAAAACCATGTATGTTTCCATAGGAAAATAAATATTTCTAGGAGGTTAAACAAAAGCACAGGGGCTGGACAGGGGCAGGAGGTGGGGCCAACTGTCAATGAGCTTCATGGCTCCCTTCTCCAGAGTCCCAGCTAGGGCATCAGGCCCTCACTACACCTGGGTTCAGATGCTCACGACTCTTCCCGTCCTAGGGCTACATGAGTTGTCCGTCTCGTGGAGACAATGCCCTGTACTCCCACACTGGCTGTGAGCCCCAGCTGGCCACAGTGTCTTGATGGGGTCAGAGCTGGGGGTTCTGGTCAAACCAGGCGTAAATCCCTGTTTCTATTTTACTACCAGGGAAGAAGTTAAGAAGCAAGTTTAGAAAATGGCCAGTGAAGATATTTAGTCACTGGACAGCTGTATCCCCAGGACCAGCTTTTCCTTGCTAAGAGTTGAGTCCAGGCCCTAGGCCACCACTGCAGGAGAGAGGCAGGCAGATAAGTCTCGCCTCTCAGCGCCGTCGGAAGGCCCGGGATATTCTCCAAGCGTTGGGCTCCTCGTAACGATTGTACAAGGGTTCTAGACGCTGCTGCTTCTTCTGCTTGCTTAGCTTGGTCGGGTCGGAGACCTTGAAGAAGGCTGGAGCAAACTCCACAAGCCACCTGGGGTCAATAGTGGTGACCTCACGCATGTACTCCTTCGTCGTCAGCACCAGCTCATGGTACACTACCCTAGGTGGGGGACAGAGATAAGGCTCAAGCCACCTGTGCAGGCCTCACTTCAGTCCCCATGGTCCCTGGCGGGCTGCAGGAGCTTGCATTTTACCCCCTTACCTCCCCTGTGTGACCATTCAGGAGGCTGCAGTCTCTGTTCATGAGCCACACTCCCATACTGAGGAGCCTGCACACCTCTAACTATAAGAAAGCTGTCAGGATGTATTCTAGTCCTTGTTCTAACTAGTCCTGGTTCTAACTAGTTAAGTGACATGAAGCCAGTAACACCCCTTCTCTGGATCTGGGTTTCCTGCTATGTGGACCGGGAGGGTGGTTTTTAAGGCTGTCTCCACAGAATTCTGGGGCTCTGAAAGAAGAGCTTTGGGGCTTGCCACAGGCACTGGGGAAGGCCAACCAGCAAGGCTCTGCATCTCCAACCCCTCCTAGTATGACAACACTGTGTGGTTTTAGATCAGTTTGGTGTTATGGTGGGTAAGATTGCAATTTTTTTTAAGTGCTACTTAAAAAAAAACTCATTTAAACCACCTCACTAGACGATCTCTAAGATCTTCCTTGGCTCCCAACCCTAGGACTTTATTTCTATCAAATGGGCCTGATACTGTGGCTACTTCAGGCTTCTGTTGCTCTAGAAACGGAAGCAATGTTGGAGGAGAAAGTGCTGGGCTGGGCAAAGACCCAAATGCTAAGGCCCAAGAGAGTTACAGGTTCTTTCTGTACACGACTGCCCCCAGACCTCAATCGGCCCACCTACCATTCGGGTTGTCTGTTGAAAAGAGCACTGGAAGGGTGAATGTAGACCACCTGCTGGTCGATCAGTGTCCGGTAGCCCTCCTGTGGGTCTTTCTTGGCAGCGTTTCGGAAGAATCCACTGCAGATGGCCTTCTGCACTCGCACTGTGGACTTGCCACAGGAGACCACATCCAGCTTGTGTCTAACAGAACAGATTGAGAGAGGATAAATATATGATACACCTCTGCATTCAGAGGTTCTATCTTCCAGAATGATGGTACCCCACACCCCCACTTCAGGTACCCAGAGACTGACTGGGGTTCCCCTCTCCCAACCCTAAATGGACCACAGGGGCAGCTCCATCGCGGGCAGGATGGATGCAGGAAGAACTAGAGATTTTATTCAATTCAACCTGTAATGTTCCAGATGCTTATAAACAAAGCAGTTTTCTATTATTAATAAGTAAACTTCTTAGAAACTTTCTGAAGTGACTCTCAGCTCCACCCTTGCCTGGGGAGAGCTATAACAAAGAAGGAAAAGGCTTATGTGAGAAGCCTATAACCTCTCAGGTACACCAAAAGAGGAACAGACAGGATAGTCAGGCAGACTCAACTCAAACATGGGGCCAGTCACCAGACGTTACCTGTCCATTATGCCTAACATCTGCTTGCGAATATCCTGGGCCCGGCGCAGGGAGCGCGCCTGGATGAAGTTCTCATAGCACCATGGGTTGGAGAACTTGTTGTTCTTCCAGGAGTTGTACACGGCCAGCAGGGTGAGGTGGTCCCCTTCAGTCTGGTGGAATTTGGCTTTCTTCTGATCTGCGAGGGCTTGTTTATCCTGCCAAAAGGTGGGACAGGATCACTCTCTGTCCAGTGGCTCCTAAGTGACAGCCTAGCAGTTCCGGGGAGTTCTAACTGGCCCTGTTGAGTGGTTATGTGAAGTACTGCAGTGGCAAGAGGCTGATTCTACCAACTTTGCCACGCCTGTACCTGAACAAGTCTGAACTCCTTACCTTGGGCCTATAGAAGACATTCTGCACTGACAGCATGGACACGATGGTCAGCATCTCCTCACTGCAGCCCAGGTGCACGGACATGATCAGCATCTTGCACAGCATTGGCTCCAGGGGAAATTCTGCCATCTAGAGGGAGAAGAGGAGACTACAGCTGCTGCCCTCAGAAGACCCATCTGTATGTCAGTGACAGACACCGAGCAGAGTGGGTAACACACCACAGGACGGTTCACCTGAGCACAACAACGTGAGCGCCGGTCTCTATCACAAGAATGTTGTCTTTTATTTTCCCAAATCAACCTCAACAAAATGTATGTGACCAAGAACGTTAACTACTCCAGGAGTGGATGAGAATTTTGCAGACATCTTTTAAAATTAAGGCTAGACTCAATAATATATCCTGAAATAAAACTATGGATAAAATCTGTTTTCCTATAAAGTAGTAATAGTTTTTTTGTTTTTTTTTAAATTTTTTTAAAATTTTTTTATTTAGTTATGATAGTCACAGAGAGAGAGAGAGGCAGAGACACAGGCAGAGGGAGAAGCAGGCTCCATGCACCGGAAGCCCGACGTGGAATTCGATCCCGGGTCTCCAGGATCGCGCCCTGGGCCAAAGGCAGGCGCCAAACCGCTGTGCCACCGAGGGATCCCAGTAGTAATAGTTTTAAGCGACAGTGGAAAACCCAGTTTAAAAACAGGCATCTAAAAATAAAAAAATAAAAATAAATAAAAAATAAATAAATAAAAAATAAAAACAAGCATCTAGAATTCTACTCAAAGTAGAGTAGGCCCCTACTGAGGGCCTCAGAGTTTAATTGTGCACAGAACAAAGAGAATGGAAGGCTGGCCAGGGACTAAAAAAACAGGAAATTCAGTCTGGCTCCTACCCTGCGGCCCAGACGAGTGAGCAGGCCCTCATCGTCCAAGGCCCCCAGCGTATAGAGCTGCTCCATGGCTGTGATCAAGGTTTCCATTGGTGGGGCATCCATGAAGTCAAAGGACAGCAGGTCATTGATGCCCATGGCCTAGAACAGAAGGAAAGAAAGCATGTGATTGGACAGTCAGCCCTGCTAGTGTTAACATGGAGGGAGAGTACTTGTCCATTTCTTTCCTATTTCTTCTATTACAAGGAGGAAGTCATCAACAAGATTAGCAGTCATCTCCAGGGCTGAGTCACACAAAACTCAGACTGGTAGAAAGCATATACTCTCTCAGGAAACTTTAAAAATGGCGCCTTCAAAGTAAATGCAGATACAATTCAACAACGAAAAAATGACAATTTAAAAATGGGCAAATGGGCACCTGGCTGGCTTAGTTGGAAGACCTCGCAACTTCTGACCTCAAGGTTGAGTTCTAGCCCCACGTTGGGTGTAGAGATTACTTAAATAAATAAATCATTAAAAAAAATACACAACGGGGATCCCTGGGTGGCTCAGTGGTTTGGCGCCTGTCTTTGGCCCATGGCGCGATCCTGGAGTCCCGGGATCGAGTCCCGCGTAGGGCTCCTGGCATGGAGTCTGCTTCTCCCTCTGCCTGTGTCTCTGCCTCTCTCTATCATGAATAAACAAATAAATCTTTTAAAAAAAAACATAAATTCAAGTAAACAAAAATGGGCAAAGGACGTGAAGAGGCATTTCTCCCAGTAAGTTATAAAAATGGCCAAAAAGCACATGAAAATATGCTCAACGGAACTGGTAATCAGGGAAATGCAAGTCAAAAGCACAAGATTATAACCTACCCACTAGGATGGCTATAATAGGGAAAGGAACAGAACAAGGGTTGGCCAGGATGTGGAGAAACAGGGACCTTTATGCAATGCCAGTGGCAATGTTAAATGGTGACTTCTTGTTAAGTTAAACATACATCACCATATGACCCAACAATTCCAACTTCTAGATATGCCCAAGAGAACTGAAAAGAGGGACACAGATACTTGTACACTAATTTTCATAGCAGCATTATTCACAAAAGCCAAAAGAAACCACCCAAATATCCATCAACAGATGAAGGGATAGACAAAATGCAGTATATGCACACCAGGAGTATTATTCACCCTTAAAAAGGAATGAAATTCTAACACATGCTATATAACACAATGAACTATGAAAACACGATGCTGGGCAAAATAGGCCAGACACAAAAGGACAAACACTGCATGATTCCATTGGTATGGAAATCAAGCTCAGAGAGACCAGAAAGTGGAATAATGGTCATGGGGGATGGGGTGGTGGTGGTGGAGAGAAAGGATGGCGCCATGTAATGAGTTTCTCTAGGGAATGATGACAAAGTTCCACAAATAGATGGTGGTGATGGCTGCACAATATTGGGAAAGTACTTATTGCTGCTGAACTGTACATCTTAAAAAGGTTACAAGAGTAATAGGTTGTGTCTTTTACCATATTTTTTAAAAAGGACAACATACCAGCTTGTCCTATCTCTTGCACACATAATTTCTACCTTGCATTGAGGAAGTGCCTCATATTGCATCAGGTGGCAGGGATAGGAAGATGACTAAGACATAGCCTGGCTCCCAGAGAGTTCACAATGGTGAGATACACAGACACAAAACACCAGTAACACCGTGCAGGCTGTATGCCGGGCAAAGAGTCGGCATTCGATATGTGTGTTGGCTAATTTGATGAATTGAAGAAACAAATGAGTGATGCACTATCCAAGCATGTTTAAGAGGGATGTGGTAGGACTTAAGCCTTCTGTTTCTTTTCCCTAAAGTGATTGTGACTATAAACACAGCAGGTGTCCAATAAATGCTTATTGTGTGAATAATAACTACAAGGAATTATGTTAGCAATCAGCGAGCACTGTGCCAAGGGCCTTTACCTGTATTATCTCATTTATTTTCAAAATAGATACTATTAATAGCCCACTTCTAGAAAGGAGAATATAGAAAAGCCGGTTGAGCAGATAAATTTGCCAAGGACATAGAGCTCAGAGCAAAAGTTTGAGCCACAGATGCCTCTCTGTTCTCCCTCCAGAGACTAAAGCAGGATTTTTTTTCTGAAGCTCTGTGTTAGCCTCTCTTACAGAGAATGAATAATAAATTACAACAGAGCACTCTGCACCAGCAGAGTGAGAGTGCCAGGGCCCCAGGGCAGCATCAGTGTCAGGGGGTGGGGATGCCATCAGCTGGGAAATTATTCATGCAGCTCCCCCTGCCAAAAGAGAATGAGGGTCCTCACTGGGGACCTAGAGAGGAAGAGCAATGATTCAGAATGAAAACCCAGCCCCCCTGAGGGTCAGTCTGAAACCTGTACTGATAGTTCCCCTGCAACATTTTTTGGGTTGGGGGTTTCACTTCCATTCTAAAAGAGAACTGGATCAGGGTTGAAGGAAGTGTGACTGCCTGACCACGGTTTGGCATGAATTAGATTTTTCTAATATCCTTTTAGAAAATGCCCCTAACCAAAATCTTTTTATTTTTTTTTTTATTTTTTTTTTTAATTTTTTTTTTTTTTTTAAACATTTTTATTTATTTATGATAGTCACAGAGAGAGAGAGAGAGGCAGAGACACAGGCAGAGGGAGAAGCAGGCTCCATGCACCGGGAGCCCGATGTGGGATTCGATCCCGGGTCTCCAGGATCGCGCCCTGGGCCAAAGGCAGGCGCTAAACCGCTGCGCCACCCAGGGATCCCCCAAAATCTTTTATAACCAAATATCCTGCTGGTTATTATGGTCAGAAAAAAAACGTGTGCTCACAGTAGACATGCCAACTTAGCCCTAGCCCCACAGCAGAGAGGCTGTTATCACAGCCATTTGCATTCCATTCAAAGGGACTGGTTCCACGAGGTTACTAAAGTATTTAACAAGGTTCATAAAACCGACACTCCTTTACTATGGACATATGATTAAACTGTTCCACCAGCCCATCCTAACAAGACAGTGATCTCTACCTTGAGCGAGAGCACCGTGCTCGCCAGGTTGGTCCTCTGGATTTCCGGCACATTGGTGGTCAGCATTTCATCTCGGTAGGCACGTTCAGTGTACAGCCTGTAACACTTCCCTGGGCCCGTCCGCCCAGCTCTGCCAGCTCGTTGCTTTGCCTGAGCCTGGAGGGGAGGGCATATAAAAGTAACGTAACTGTTGAACATTGCTTAACAGCTTTACCCAGGAAATCTGCTAAAAGAGGGGCGTTTAGCAGCTGGCAGAACCCGAAATGGGGTTTATTTCACTTCCTTTAGGACCATTTCCAAGACTATCAAGGCTCTTATCATCCCCTCTCTAAAACTCGGCATTTCAGGAAAGTTTGTTCAAGTGAGGCAGATACAAGCAATGTGAATGGAAGAAACACTGAAAGATCGCAGAAATACACATTTAAAAATAGCGTGGCACAATATACGAGAAAAAGCGTAACACAATATGAGAAATGGGCAGCCCAGGTGGCTCAGCGGTTTAGCGCCGCCTTCAGCCAGGGCCTGATCCCAGAGACGTGGGATCGAGTCCCATGTCAGGCTCCCTGCATGGAGCCTGCTTCTCCCTCTGCCTGTGTCTCTGCCTCTCTCTCTCTCATGAATAAATAAATAAAATCTTAAAAATATATATATATATATATGAGAAACACCATCCCCACAGTTGGGATCAAAAATGTAAGTGAACTAAAGAAATGTAGTGTTGATCCTACCAGTGATGACCCTGCAGCTCTTTTGTGTGTTTTTAAGGAGGCTCCACTTACTCCAGGGCCCAGCATGGAGACTAAAGTGGAACATGAACTCAAGACCCTGAGATCAAGACCTAATCCGAAGCCAGAGCCATCCAGGTGCCCCTCCCAAATCAGCTTCGGAACTCTCAATAACAGAAGAAAATGTTCATGTACATAGGTGAAAAAGTAAGATACAGAACAATACTAATTTTCTAAACAAAACAAAAAAACTACCAGAAGGAAAAACTGGGAACAAAAAGCACTAAAACTGTGACTAACTCTCATGGTAGGCTTGCGGATCAGTTCTATTTACTTTTATCAAATATCTGGTGTTGAACATGTATTATACCTTAATAATCAAGAAAATTAAATATTTAAACAAAAAAATGCACAAAACAGCACACTTAGCAAGACTACTAGACTTGCTAACAAGAAACAAACAAAAGATGGGCAAGAAAAGCATCAAAATGAGAAAGTGGTGGCAACAGAATTATGAGCAATTTAAATTTTTTTCTTCTTTATCCCCAAAATAATATAATACTTCTCTACACTACGTAGGGGAGAGGGACGTTAATTTTTCAAGTGTTTCTTTCTTTTTTTTTTTAAAGATTTTATTTATTTATTCATGAGAGACACAGAGAGAAGAGAGGCAGAAGGAGAAGCAGGCTCCCTGCAAAGAGCCCGATGTGGGACTTGATCTCAGGTCTCCAGGATCACGCCCTGGGCCTAAGGCGGCGCTAAACTGCTGAGCCACCCAGGGATCCCCAAGTGTTTCTTTCTTAAATTATTTAAGTAATCTCTACACCCAAGGTGGAGCTCAAACTCATGACCCTGAGATCATGAGTTGTACCCTCTTCCAACAGATCAGCCAGCGCTCTGAATTAGTTAAATACAACTAACTTTTAAATTAAAAAAAAAAAAAATACATGTAGTTTAGCCATAGATTGCTAGGAAACCATGAATGGCAATCTGAAGACAGCCATTTGCTGACAAAACCATCTGTCTTACAAATCAGGATTTTACAAATTCCTCTTCCAGTCCCAAACCAAAGGAGAGAGTATCAAAGGTCACTAACCACATTAAGGCAGGCAGCAATCACATATAGCATTCTACAGACATCTCTCTCCAAATCAGGGAGAACAAATGTAGCTTATTTCTCAATCACTGAAAGTGGCAAGCACCACCCCAAGAAATGGTACAGAGCACACAGGCAGGGGCTAGACTGCCCAGCTTCAAATCCTGGCTCTACCAGCTGTGTAGCCTTAGGCAGGTCTCTTAACCTCTCTGTGCCTCATTCTCATCTGTGAAAACAGCAACATCTACCACTAAGAATGAATGAGAGAATGCAAATGAGTTCATGTATGTGCAAGTACCTAGTGACTGGCATTTAGTAAGCACTCTGCAAATGGTAGCTGATATCTCTTAAGGCACAAAATGACAACAGCCTTATGATTTTTATGGATTATGAAAATCACACATCCCTCTTATAAAATATTAATATGTAAAAGCCAAAGAAAATAATGCACTTTGCCCCTCAGCATAGTAACCAGCAGCTCCACCGACAAGCAACCCCAACTACCATGCCGACTACACACTTTCTGTCTCAGGCATGCACACATATGCTGTACACAAGCATGCACCATTTATTTTTAAACAAAAGTTGGACTCTACTATTCATACTATGCTTCGGTTTACTTTTTTCAAATAATATATCACAATTATATGCTTATGTCATTAAATATAGATGCCCACCACCATGTTAATGCCACACAACATTCTATGGCGTGCATATACCATATTTTATTAAACGACTTCCCTTTTGGAGTTCATTTAGAATTTTCCCAGGTTTCCTTTCATATAAATAATACTTTGGTGAACATCCTTTTCCCTTACCTTCAGATGTATGCTTGCTAAACTTTCAGATGTATTCCTGGAAGTGGAACTGTTATCTTCAAAAAATGAACTTTTAAATGTTGGATGCCTTGTAGCCAAAATGCCCTCAAAAAGGCTGATCAAGTTATTCATTTTTAAATATAATTTGGGCAGGAAATTATTACACAATTACAAAAGAAATCCATTAACATCTCATGAATTATTACTATCTCAGATGTCTGTGGATAAGTACAATATTTTTAAAAATATGTCCTTATACAGTTTTATAATCTAGGGTGCTAGAACTGAAACTTTTTTAAATTCCAGTTTTAGCAAGCTTTTTAATGCTGAAACACTATCCAAGATTGAACACAAACTACACACAAAATGTCCTTTATCTCACAAAAGCACCCAGTTATCTGAAAGGACCCTCTTTGAAAACAATAAAGTTCAGGGGTGCCTTGGTGGCTCAGTTGGTTAAGCGTCTGTCTTTGGCTCAGGTTATGATCTTGGGGTCCTGAGATCGAGCCCCATATCAGGTTCTCTGCTCAGCAGGGAGTGTGCTTCTGCTTCTACCTCTGCCCTTCCCCCTGCCTGTATACTCACTCTCTCTCAAATAAATAATATTTAAAAAGAGTATCTCTTAAAAAAAATAAAAGAAACAATGAAGTTCAAAATACCAAACCATAAAAAATTTAGACACCCTAACAAGGATTTTCAGGACAGCTGTGGGTAGAAGCCACCATACCTGAGAAATCGGAGTGACCACAAGCTGGTCAATGCCAGTCTTGGAATTGTAAACTTTCTGTTTCACAAACCCAGGGTCCACCACATAGTAGATGCCATCAATAGTCAGCGAGGTCTCTGCGATGTTGGTGGCAATCACGACCTGCAGACAAAAGGGACACTGCTGGATTAAGTTGCCCAGGCTCAGCCCTGAGGTGTGAATTAGGACATCTGACTTCAGACATCTTCTCGAAGAAGTGTGCCATTCTCTCCCTCTCTAGATTAGATAGCACTTAATCTGGCCTCAAATGGGTGGAAGGGGAAGTGCCTTCATCTTAAAGGTCAAACTGGGGACAAGGTAGCGGTACCTGAGAGGAGAAGGAGAACAGGAAAAAGCAAAGGCCAATCAAAGCCAATTTCATTTGGTGCTAATGGCCACATATCTCATTTTCTAGATCCAACGTTGATTACTACAATTTTAATTTTCTTGCACCCTGGGAAAGCAGAGATTTCCTGGCATCACATGTGCCAGTGCAAAATGAGATTTTTCTTCCCCCATGGGGACATCTGGACTACAAAATGGGCTGTTAGTGTATGTGGAACAAGAGAGAGATGTTTTTTTTTGTTTTTTTTGTTTTTTTTCTGATCATAAAATGAACGAGGCGGCAGAGGAATTTCAGTTTGTGTGTATGTAGCAGTATGTGTGATCTAGAAGATTATTGGTCTCGGCTTGGCACTACCACTGTTCTTCCACCCAGAGGTTCAGCTAATAAAACACAATTGCTTGGAAAAATCATTGCGAGGAAGCACCAGAACATCTCGCATCATGCCAGCATCTCACTGGCCCTGAAAGGCTTCCACCTGCCACAGAGCTGCAGAGCCCTCTTAAAAAGAAGTCCAATCATCAGGAACAAAACAGAGGAGGAATTGCCATCTCTCCCTCCAGCCCCCCGAAAACCTGCTCCTCCATGTTTCTGTTCTCAGCACTATTTTCCATCCAGCTGTCCATGCCAGAAAGCAGGGAGTCACTCTGATTTCTCCCTGCCCTTCTTTCCTACCCCTCCAACCACCCACTATGTCTTGTCCATTCTAACTCTTCAGTGTTATTCAAATCCCAAGTCTTCCATTCCTAGGTATATATACTCAAGAGAAATGAAGACATGTCCGCATAGAAACTTGTAAACAAATGCCCACAGCAGCATTGTTCATAATAGCTAAAACATGGAAACAACCTGAATATCCAACAACTGGGGAAAAGATAAACAAAATGTGGTACATCCACATTCTGGATATAGAATATCATTCTATGATAGAATATTATGCGGCAATTAAAAAAAAAAGTAGCACTAAAAATGCTACAACATGATGAAACCTGAGAATGTGCTAAGTGAAAGAAACCAGTCACCTAGGATCGCGTTAGGATTCCATTTATATGAACTGTCAGGAATAAGCAAATACAGAAATACAGGAAGTAGTTTAGCGGCTTCCAGGGACTGAGCACAGGGCTGAATGGGGCGGGTGGGGGGGTGGAGTCCTCTGTTAAAGGGTACAGGGTTTCATTTAGAGGTCATGAAATTATTCTAAAATTAACCATAGTGATTAATGGTTAATGATTAATTCCCATGAAAAATGGCAATTAATGGTCAAACAATCCAGTAAATATACTAAAAGCCACTGAATTGTGTATTTTATTTTACTTTTTAAAGATTTTATTTATTTATTCATGAGACACACAGAGAGAGAGAGGCAGAGACACAGGCAGAGGGAGACAGAGGCTCCATGCAGGGAGCCTGACATGGGACTCGATCCCGCAACTCCAGGATCATGCCCTGGGTTGAAGGTGGCACTAAATCGCTGAGCCACTCAGGCTGCCCCCTGAATTGTATGTTTTAAAGGGATGAATTGTATGGTATGTAAATTGTATCTTGGTAAGGCCGTTATTTAAGAAAAAATCCATCTGTCTCCTCTCCCACTGTCTTACATGCATACCCATGCAGTTAGCTCCAGCTGCAGAAGTAGGCAGCTCCCTGAAATGGCCACACTCTCTTATCCCTAGGTTATCACATGCTGTCCTCTCAGAATGCTTGTCCTCCAGCCCTTCTTAAATCTTTTTTTTTTTTAATTTTTTTTTTTTTATTTGTTTATGACAGTCACAGAGAGAGAGAGAGAGGCAGAGACACAGGCAGAGGGAGAAGCAGGCTCCATGCACCGGGAGCCCGACGTGGGATTCGATCCCGGGTCTCCAGGATCGCGCCCTGGGCCAAAGACCGGCACTAAACCACTGCGCCACCCAGGGATCCCCTCCTCCAGCCCTTCTTAACCAGAGGAACAGCCACATGCTCTTTAGGACAAGCTTAGATCCTTACTTCCTCTGAGAATTCTGGGCATGGGGCTCCCCTCCTGGGTATCCACAGCCCCAGCAGCTCTTTCATACCATATGTTCACGGCCTATTTTACTGGTGGATGCCCCACAGCAGAGAGAGGCCTGGCCTCACACTGCAGCTTTGTGTACCCCAAAGCCTGGGAGATGCTGAAAAAATATCTGTCGAATACAGGAGAGGAAGAGGACCAGGGGCTATATACAAGATCCTTATTCCTTAACAAACTGGTTGGACTATTTTCTAAGACATAAGAAAACACAGTGTGTGTGTGCACCTTAGGCAATCCCTGTTAGGGCCAGGTACATACATCGTGTGGTTCCAGAGCACACGGGAGCTTCATCCCTGCCCACTGTTACCTTTCTGCTGCCAGGTGGAGCTGGGTCAAAGATTCGGGTCTGCATTTCACTGGGAAGAGCAGAGTACACTGGCAGGATGATCAGCTCTGGAACATCCGGTCCCAGGGATTTCATTCTTTCATAAAGGATCTCACAAGCAGTATCAATCTCCTCCTGACCAGTGAGGAAGACCAGGATATCACCTAAGAAGAGAACATTTACTTCCTGTGTGCGCACTCTTGCCACAGAGACCTGAAAAGAATGCCAGGTGATGGAAAACATACTCTATTCCAATCCTTAATAAATCAAGAGGTTTTTATCTGTCCATGTTTATTCTGGTTTTTCATTTTTAGTGTTATTTTTAATATTTTTTTATTTTTTAAAAGTTTGTGTCCATTCTTATTTGCATGTGTGTCTCCATGCTTAAATAGAGTACAATTAAACCCTGTACACCATTATTTATATCTCTACTGCTGCTTCAAACATACAAGACTTAGGCTTACCGAGAGACTGATCCTTAATAGGCATTTTTTAAAAGATGAGAGAAAAGCTACCCCCATCAGGACTTTTGGCCTAAGAGGGGAAAATGCTCCTTCTTCCTACCTGGTGGTTCTGTTAGGTGGATCTGCATGACAGTGATCAAGCTGGCATCCAGATAATCTGTCTCAGGTTCCTTCGTGTATAGTATTTCCACTGGGTATGTTCGACCTGGAATGGTGAAGATGGGGGCTTCATAGAAGTACTGAGAAAACTTCACTGCATCCAATGTGGCTGAGGTGACAATTAGCTTCATGTCTTGCCGTTTCTGAACCGTCTAAAGGGAAATGCAACGTGGTTCACTAAGGACTAAGCAAAAAGGCACAGGAACCTCAAATCTGATTCCCAGGATTTAGTCCCCGACAGGTGGAAGGGCAACCAAAGAGAACATAGTTACCTTCTTCAACAATCCAAATAGCACATCAGTGTGAATGGTTCTCTCATGAGCCTCATCTAACATGATGATCGCATACTGTGTGAGGTCGGGGTCAATCAGGCACTCGCGGAGCAACATCCCGTCTGTCATGTACTTGATCACGGTCTCTGGGCTGGTACAGTCCTCAAATCGAATGGTGTAGCCCACCTAAAGCAGAGGTGAAGCTGAAAACCTTAGACACAAACCTCTCCTTCTGCAATCACCAGGCAAGACTTCAGCCTGGTCAGACTGTTACCTGTAATCTTAAGAGGTAAGAATTTGACCAAGATTCGTAGTGATTTCCTCACAGTGAATCTGCCTTGGGCTTGATCCTGAGTGGATCACTGATGACGAGAACCCTCTGCCCCTCAAGAGAAACCTGAAGAAAGACAAGACTACTCCCACTGTACAGAGATCTGAGCCTTTACACTCTCTTCAGGTATTTCGAGAACAGCTTCACTACCCACTTACCTCTTGGCCCAGGCAACAACCAAACTCCTCTGACACTCTTTTGGCCACTGACATGGCTGCTACTCTTCTGGGCTGGGTACATCCTATCTTGCCCCGGGAAGTATAGCCTGCCTCTGCCAGGTACTGGGTGATCTGCGTTGTCTTCCCAGATCCTGTCTCTCCAATAACAATCAGGATTTGATTGTCATGGACAGCCTGAAAGCAACAGAGTGTAAATACAGTCATTAAAACTTCCCACACATTACTCAGAAGGAAAATAATTAATGTTTACGTTCTAATGCTAAAGAAGAAAGAGGGCTGGGACACCCTGGCGGCTCAGCGGTTGAGCATCTGCCTTCGGCTTAGGGTGTGATCCCAGTTCCAGGATCGAGTCCCACATCGGGCTCCCTGCATGGAGCATGCTTTTCCCTCTGCCTGTGTCTCTGCCTCTCTCTCTCATGAATAAATAAAATAAAAACTTAAAAAAATAACTCTCTGAAGAAAGTCCATGGTATTTTGATAGGGATTGCATTAAACGTGTAAATTGCCCTGGGTAACATTGACATTTTCACAATATTAATTCTGCCAATCCATGAGCATGGAATATTTTTCCATCTCTTTGTGTCTTCCTCAATTTCTTTCAGAAGTGTTCTATAAAACTTAAAAAAAATAAAGAAGAAAGAAGGGATATAATAATGTACACATGCTAAATTACAACCAGGTTATTTTTAATCATGCAAAGAAAAAATATTAATGGTGTTTTTTTTTTTTTTTTAAGATTTTATCTATTTATTCATGAGAGACACAGAGAGAGAGGCAGAGACATAGGCAGAGGCAGAAGCAGGCTCCCTGTAGGGAACCCAACATAGAACTTGATCCCGAGACCCCGGTATCACACCCTGAGCCGAAGGCAGATGCTTAACCACTGAGCCACCCAGGCGTCCCTACTGGTGATTTTCTATGGGCAATGCTCTTCCTTATTTGAACTGCAAGTATAACTTAAAAACTTGAGGGATCCCTGGGTGGCACAGTGGTTTAGCGCCTGCCTTTGGCCCAGGGCGCGATCCTGGAGACCCGGGATCAAATCCCACGTCGGGCTCCCGGTGCATGGAGCCTGCTTCTCCCTCTGCCTATGTCTCTGCCTCTCTCTCTCTCTCACTGTGTGCCTATCATAAATAAATAAAAAATTAAAAATAAAAATTTAAATAAATAAATAAAAATAAAAACTTGAGGGGTGCCTGGGTGGCTCAATGGTTGAGCATCTGCCTTTGGTTCAGGTTGTGATCCCAGGGTCTTGGAATTGAGTCCTGCAACAGGCTCCCCACAGGGAGTCTGCTTCTCTTTCTGCCTATGTCCTTGCCTCTCTCATGAATAAATAAAATCTTTAAAAAAAAAGAAACAAAAAACAAAAACTTGAAATTTTACAGGTATTCTTTTTTTAACTGACTCAACTTAATTTTTTAAAATGTTATTGGTTTTCTCACATTCATAAAAACATAAAGGTGATGCTACAAGCATAAACCACCACCCAAGGGCGCCTCGGTGGCTCAGTCAGTTAAGCAGACGCCTTCGACTCAGGTCATGATCCCAGGGTCCTGGGATCAAGATCGGCATCTGGCTCCCTGCTCAGTGGGGATTCTGCTTCTCCCTCTCTCTCTGGCCCTCCCCGTTTGTGTGCGTGCGTTCTCTCAAATAAATAAATCTTTAAAAATAAATAAACTACCACCCAGCTATCACTGATTTTATGTATATATATATATATTTTTAAGTACTATATGCATGTGATTATAGAATTCAACAGTAAATAAAAAGGGTACATAAAGTGTTCCATTGGGACACCTGGGTGGCTCAGCAGTTGAGCACCTGCCTTTGGCTCAGGACATGATCCCGGATTCCCGGGATTGAGTCCCACATCAGGCTCCTTGCATGGAGCCTGCTTCTCCTCCCTCTGCCTATGTCTTTGCCTCTCTTTCTGTGTCTCTCATGAATAAATAAAATCTTTAAAAATAAAATAAAGCGTTCCCTTCCACTGCCAAATCTCTAGTACTTTACCCCAAAAGTCAAATTATTTCTACACCATTTATAATAGCAAAGGATTGACATAATCTATATGTCTATTAGTACGGGACTAGTTAAGTAAGCCAGAAAACATCCACATAATGAAGTACCATCAAAACAAAGATTTTCTGAGCTATATCATTAAGGGGAATAGCAAGATGCAGAACATATGCGTCATATGCTGTCATCCAGAAACATACAGTATACCTAAGACATGACATTTATGTATGCATGTACATATGTATTTGTACTTGCTTATGTATGTTTGAGATCGCACAGAAAGGATTCACTAGGCACTAGTAAACTCGGTTGCCTAGGGAAAGTCTGCTGGTCTTCAAATCCGATGTCTAAAAAATGGAAATAAGTACCCAGAGCAAAATCTTGCCTATATGGGATCCCTGGCCAAGCATGCCCATTTCTCTTACTGGCAGGAGATGCTGCTCTGTGCAACATAACACCCCTGCCCACTCAGAACCACTTCAGAAGCTCCTCATTCAGATTTATTTCCTCACTGGAAAAAAAAAAAAAATGTTGCGGTGCCTGGCTGGCTCAGTCACTCAGTGGAGCATGGGACTCTTGATCTCAAGGCCATGAGTTCAAGCCCCACACTGGTATAGAGATTCCTTAGATAAATTTTTAAAATGTATATACTAACATATATATGTGCATATGTATATGTGTACATATATATATTTATTTAAAGTACTTGCACATGTTGTTTTTTCCTATCCTCTTTGGAAAAGCCACTTCAAATGTACACATACCCGTCCAGCTAATTTTAATTCAAACATATCATCTTTCTTTTATTTTTTTAAAGAGATATTATTTATTTATTCATGAGAGACACAGAGTGAGAGAGGCAGAGACACAGGCAGAGGGAGAAGCAGGTTCCATGCAGGGAGCCTGACGTGGGACTCGATCCTGGATCTCCAGGATCACGCTCTGAGCTGAAGGCAGCGCTAAACCACTGGGCCACCTAGGCTGCCCATCATCTTTCTTTTAGAAAACACCACTACTGGGATCCCTGGGTGGCACAGAGGTTTAGCGCCTGCCTTTGGCCCAGGGCACAATCCTGGAGACCCGGGATCGAATCCCACGTCGGGCTCCCAGTGCATAGACCCTGCTTCTCCCTCTGCCTGTGTCGCTGCCTCTCTCTCTCTCTCTCTGTGACTATCATAAATAAGTAAAAAATTAAAAAAAAAAAAAAAAAAGAAAACACCACTACTGCCATACCAGTACATCATAAAGAGGCTTCTCACCTGGACCAGCTGCTCCTTCAGTTTGTAGATGGGCAGGCTCTCTCTCTGCTCAATGATTGACATCTGGGTCTTTTTCCCATAAGAAGCTTTGTTGCCCCCAAAGGCATGCTTCTTCCACTCGGGAATGTCATTGGGCATCATCCCAATACCTCTCATATTGGCAGCAATCTGCCTGCCTTCCGCTGCAAAGGGAAACAGGGGACAGTATTACCCTCCAGCTACCTCGGTGCCCCACCCCCAACATTCAACAAACCCCATCTCCCCAATTGATCCCTCCTGTCTGCTATCTCTGTGTTCAAGTCACCATCCTCTCTCCTATATCAGAAAAGCCTCCAAGGTCAGCTCAGGTGTCTACACTCACCCCATCTAATCCATTCTGCAGGGCATGCTCAACAATCCTTTGGAAATGCAACTCTGATCGTGCCCCTCCCATTTAGCACCTGGCAACACCTCTGAGTGAACTCTAGAATTGAGTCCCAATTCCTAAGACCTGGGTGCCCCACACCTCATGCCCACCACTCGGCCCGCCTACTCCACTGCAGCCATACAGACTTGCTTTCCACCTCACATCCCCTACTCCAGGCTACTCCTCAGCCTGGGACAACCTGTCAGACTCCTCATCCCCTCTGACAAAGTCCTATTTATGCTTCAGGTTTCAACTTCTCAGAGAAGTGACACACATTACCTGTACTTCTTCACACTGCATTGGTCGTGATGTGGTTAGTTAGCTGGTAACTATTTCATTAATCTTCATTTTCCCTACTAAATTATAAGCCTCATAAGAGAAGGGATCACATCTACTTAATTCACAGCATGCCTCAAGCTCCCCAGCTGCCTCACCCAAATTACTAAGTACTCGTTACGACTGTATCTAGCACTGACTTAGCATTTACTGCACAAAGAATTATGTGAAAAAAGAAGCTTCAAAGTTGTATTATCTTTAGCATAGAAAATTCTTGGGGCAACTGGCTGGCTCAGTCAGAAGAGTGTGCGATTTGATCTCAGGGTTGTGAGTTCAAGTCCCATGTTGGGTGTGGAGCTTGCTTAAAAATAAAATATTAAAAAATACAAAAATAATAATTCTTTTTTTCTTTTATGTAAGCTCTATGCCCAATGTGGGGCTGAGATCAAGAGTCGGACACTTAACCCACCACTGAAAGTTCAGATTGTTTTTGAAAAGTCCACACACCCCACCCAAGGTCTTACCATCAGGCAGAGGATCAACCCAGTGTTTGTTGAGCCCCATGGGAATAGAATCCATCTCAGCTTCCCGCTGGGCCTGCTTGAGTTCCCGCCTTTCTTTGGCTAAGGCACTCTGCATCATTGCTGCTTGGGAGAGGGAACCATCCGGGTTCTAGTGCAACAGAAGACATGCAACATCAGACTGAGATCTCACCATGCGTTAAATGTCCAGAAAATAAAATGCAGAGGTTAAACCTCTTGAATCTAAGAAATGAGACCCGCCTAAAAGGATGTTCATCTCCATGTACCAGACTATAAAAGAACTGGAGGGGTTTGGCTTGCAGATGAGAACCCCAAGAGAGATGGGACACACAAGAAAAGGGTAAGACTTCCTCTAGATGATCCCAAGAACTAAAATTAAGACTAACATGGCTGCCTCAGTAAGAGAGATTTTAGCTCCAACTACAGAAGAGCTTATGATCAGATCCCCGTGAAGATGGAATGGGTCTCCTTAAGGGCTGGTGAATTACTGTTACCAACAAGGTCAAGCAAACAGAAAACCACAGGGAAAGAGTGCTGCAGAAGGACACATGAGTGAATTATAAGCGATGATGGGTGGCTGGGCTGGGAGACCTTTAAAATACCCTTTTCCAAACCTAATAATTTATCCTAATTTTCCATGAATTCTTCTCTTCACAGCTCTGGCCTCCAGAGCACCCAGTGCTACAGCTTTCTAGTGAAGGCCAGTCCCAACTGATGAAGTGAACCCTTCAAAACTGCCTTTGAATCTGCAAGGTAATGAATGATTCAAGCCTAAGACAAGAGCAAAGGCAGTGGTAATACATCAAGCACTCCATTTCCCTCTTTCGTCCCGAAATACAACAGAATGAGAACAAAAGAATTAAAAAGGCAAAAGTGGGATCCCTGGGTGGCGCAGCGGTTTGGCGCCTGCCTTTGGCCCAGGGCGCGATCCTGGAGACCCGGGATCGAATCCCACATCGGGCTCCCGGTGCATGGAGCCTGCTTCTCCCTCTGCCTGTGTCTCTGCCTCACTCTCTCTCACTGTGTGCCTATCATGAATAAAAAAAATAATAATAAAATAAAAAAAAATAAAAAGGCAAAAGTAACAAAGCCAAGTCAATCACCCTTTAAAACAAAAATATTCTAGACCCTGACCAACAGTCAATACACCTTCTAGCCTGAGTTCTGCTTCCACAGATGTAATAACCTACTCTGAGAAACTAGCTGAACTAGTTACTTTAAGGAAAAAAATTCACTTGACACATCCAGGTTAGAGCCCCACCATTTCTCACCTTAACAATTTTAATAGGGCTCATGTCCATGCTTTGCTTGGTGTGCCCTCTTAGGAATGGAGGCTCTTCTTCAACCAGTTCGATCTCAAGATCTTCATCTAAAAGTCCCCCAAAAAGAAGAATTAGCAAAAATACAGGAGAGAAATAAGCAATCATTTTCACCAAAACAACTGATTTCCAAGGGCACAAGCGATCCTTATCAAAGACAGCTTCCAGGGCAGCCCGGTGGCTCAGTGGTTTAGCACCGCCTTCAGTCCAGAGCATGATCCTGGAAACCCGGGATCAAGTCCCACATCAGGCACCCTGCATGGAGCCTGCTTCTCCCTCTGCCTGTGTCTCTACCTCTCTCTCTCTCTCTCTCTCTCTCTCTCTCTCGGTGTCTCTCATGAATAAACAGTATTAAAAAAAAAAACCACAAAGACACCTTTCAAAGTCAAAAAAAGATAGCAATTCAAATGAAACTCCAATGAAGAGGACTGTTTCCCCTGCTCTCTAGATGCTTCTGGGCATTTATGGTCCAGCTCAAGAACTGATCAGAGGAGCTATTTCCTCTTTCTTTTTTTTTTTTTTAAACATTTTATTTATTAGACAGAGAGAGAGCACAAGCAGGGGGAGCAGTGGGCAGAGAGGGAGAAGCAGGCTCCCCACTGAGCTAGAAGCCTGATATGGGGCTCGATCCCAGGACACTGGGATCATGACTTGAGCCAAAGGCAGACGCTTAACCAACTGAGTCACCCAGGCACCCCGGGGGAGCTACTTTCAAAAGAAGTTAAGCCTGTGGAAAAATGTAGTCTAACATTCTAAATGGTACTAAGGTATTTGCCATCAGCTTCATTATAGTGTAACTTAACTCACAACAGACTGGCAAAAAAATTAAATTGGACAACTGGATAATACCAAATATCAGCAAGGATGTGGATCAACAGGAGCTCACACTCATGATAGAAATATAAATTAGGGGTGCCTGGTTGGCTCAGTTGGTAAAGCATGAGACTCTTAATCTGGGGGTTGTGAGTTTAAGCCCCATGCTGGGTATAAAGATTACTTAAAAATAAAATCTTAAACTGTAAATTGGTATAAAAATGTTATAAGGCAATTTGGACGGCCTGCTAAGTTTGAAAATACACATTTCCTACTATCCATTCTTTTCTTATACATACAGGGAAAAGAGAAGGTCTTGCATGTGTGCATTAAGAGACAGGTATAGGAATTTCCTAATAATATTGTCCATAAAGGTAAACAAAAAGCAAGAAACAGGGGCACCTACGTGGCTCAGTCAGTTAAGCAGCTGACTCTTGATTTAGTCTCAGATTATGATCTCAGGGTCGTGAGATTGAGTCCTGTTGTCAGGCTCTGTGCTCAGTATAGCGTCTGCTTAATATTCTCCTCTTCCCTCTGTCCTCCCCCCCCCCCCCCACTCACGTTCTAAGTAAATAAAATCTTAAAATAAAAAGGGGGGTGCCTGGGTGGCTCAGTTAGTTAAGCGTCTGCCTTAGGCTTACATCATGATCTCAGGGTCCTGGGATTAAGCCCTTGCTCAGCAAGGAGTCTGGGCTCCCTCTGTCCCTGCCCCTGCTCATGCTCTCTCTCAAATAAATAAAAATCTTAAAAATAAAAAATAAAGAAAAAAGGGACGCCTGGATGGGTCAGCAGTTGAGCATCTGCCTTTGGCTCGGAATGTGATCCCAGGTCCAGGGATTAAGTCCCACATCAGGTTCCCAGCAAGGAGCCTGCTTCTCCCTCTATGTCCCTGCCTCTCTCTCTCTCATGAATAAATAAATAAAACTTTAAAAAAACAAACAAAGGGGATCCCTGGGTGGCTCAGTGGTTTCGAGCCTGCCTTTGGCCCAGGGCGCAATCCTGGAGTCCCGGGATCGAGTCCCGCGTCAGGCTCCCGGCATGGAGCCTACTTCTCCCTCTGCCTGTGTCTCTGCCACTCTCTCTCTCTATCATAAATAAATAAAAATAAATCTTAAAAAAAAAGAAAAACAAACAAAAAACAATGTACAGATAAAATTCTCTGTAACCCGGGTAGTAGGTACATGAGCGTTCATTTATTACTGTTACATAATTAAGTCTCATTGTTGAATCTATTTTAGAAATTGTTAATAGGTCGAGTTAAAAATGGTTTCCTTGGCAACTCAGAGGCAATCTAATTGGATCCCAGGTTTTCAGAACAATTACTAAGAACATGAGATGAAATTTACTACCCAAAATACAATTACAGCTTCTTATAACCTGAAAACGTATCACAGGGGTGCCTGGATAGCTCAGTTTGTTAAGTATCCAACTCTTGGTTTCAGCTCTGGTCATGATCTAAGGCTCCTGGGATTGAGCCCTGCATCAGGCTCCATGCTCAGTGGGAATCTGCTTGAGATTCTCTCTCCCCATCTCCCCCTCCCCGTACTTGTGTGTGCATGCTTTCTCTCTCTCCCAAATAAATAAAATCTTTTTTTTTAAAGTATCATAACCAAAAAGCATTACAACATACAAATGTCTATGAAATGAAAATGCGTTTTCTGCTTCCATCCCAGAAGAACCCTGGTTCTCAGAGATAATGAGTGGTAAGCCCTAAGGAACAAATGAGCTAAATCTAACCACTCAGATTTAGATGTAGGTTAAAGTACATTTAAACCACCCTATCGGGATCCCTGGGTGGCGCAGCGGTTTGGCGCCTGCCTTTGGCCCAGGGCGCGATCCTGGAGACCCGGGATCGAATCCCACGTCGGGCTCCCGGTGGATGGAGCCCGCTTCTCTCTCTGCCTCTCTCTCTCTTTCTCTCTCTCTCTCTCTCTGTGGCTATCATAAATAAATAAAGAAAGAAAAAAAAAAAAAAAAAAAAAAGGCTAAACCACCCTATCCGGGATGCCTGGGTGGCTCAGTGGTTGAGCATCTGCCTTTGGCTCAGGGTATGATCCCAGGGTTCAGGAATCGAGTCCCATCCCACATCAGGTTCCCTGCATGGAGCCTGCTTCTCCCTCTGCCTGTGTCTCTGCCTCTCTCTGGGTCTCTCGTGAATAAATAAATAAAATGTTTAAAAAATTAAAAAATAAACCACCCTATCCAACTGCTCAACTTGTCCACTGTCCTAATCCATGATCCTGCCTGATTCAAGTGGTCAGTTACCTTCTTCATCATCCACTTTAGGGAGAATGCCAGTCTCTTCATCAAAGTCTGGAAACTCTTCTTTGGAAAGGACATTGGCAGCAATCATCTAGTGAAAGGAGAGAAGGCATCATTTGTAACCTCCTAGGATAGAAACCCTTGTTTTACAGGAGTTAATACAGAGGTTCCACATAGGAAACCAAGGTTTTGTCGTCTTCTGACCTGGGACTGCAGGGCCTCAAACATCACACATCTCATTCTTAGGGGGCACAACATGGTGCCTACAAGCAGGACTCAGGGCAAGGGTTTCACCCCAGGAAGTGCTACCAGGACACCAGGGAATTTCCCAGCATGGTGCATATTCCAGATTACATAATATCCAACTCTGACAATTAGGTATCCATCCCTCTCCTTCACTGGACTCTCAGTTCCTCAGGAGTAAGGCACCCTGATATATTTGCCTCAGTAGCCTACCATCTACTCAGTGCCTAGCACACCATGGCAAATGGCCCTAACCTGTTTGATCTCCCACTTCTCTGGGTCAGAAATGCGGGTAAGGCGCTTGCGCTCCAGTGAATCATCTTCTACTTCAGGGGCACTGACGAGGGAGAGGTGAGTGGGTCTATCCGGATTCCTCATTGAAGTCTCCTCATTGGTCTCCCCAACAAGATTTCGTCGTCGGTTGGGATTTAGATCTTCTCCAGTCTCTTGATCCACATCCTAAGGCACATATATAAACAAGGGAACTAACTCACTTGCTGCCCTCTTTTGTTTCTTTGGCCAACAGATGTAGAAACAGACTGCATATCTCACCTACCTTCATGCTCAGACTGGTCTTGGTCCCAGTGAAAGACAGTACTTTGACCTTCACCCTCTGGCCTTTGCTTACCACATCAGCGACATTGGCCACACGACCTTCTCGTCGGAGCTCAGAGATGTGCACCAGGCCTTCCCACCGCTTCCTAAGGGAGAGTCACACACATCTAGAGCATGCCTAAAATACCTTTTCCCCAATGGATTTCCACCCTTGTTGGAACTCAACAAAAGGAAATGGTGTTAAACTCAAAAATTTAAGAGGAAAGTACCCAAAGCTGGTCAAAAAATAAAACAGTAGGGTGACCTGGGTGGCTTAGTCAGTTAAGCGTCTGACTCGTTTTGGCTTAGGTTCTTAACTCAGGGTTGTGAGATCAAGTCCTGTGTTGGGCTCCACACTGAGCATGGAGTCTGCTTATCCATCTCCCTCTGCTCATCCCCTCATCCTCCTCCCCCCCGTACACATACTCTTTCTCTCTAAAATAAATAAAAATAAATTAAATCTTATTTTTTTAAAAAAGGTCAAATTCTAACAACCTGATATGGTTGATTTGATTAAAGCAGTATTAATCATAACATTTTAGAATGCGAAAATCCAGAGGCATCTGGGTGGCTCAGTCGGTTAAGCATCTGCCTTCAGCTCAGGTCATGATGGCAGGGTCCTTGGATTGAGCCCCATGTTGGGCTCCCTGTTCAGCAGGGAGTCTGCTTCTCCCTTTCCCTCTGCCTCCCTTTGCTTGTGCATGTGCACTCTCTCTCACTCTCTCAAATAAAATCTTAAAAAATAATAATAATAATGTGAAAATCCACAGTGATCAGAGCAATTCTGCCCATCACAGGTGTGAAAGAGCACCAGCCATTACCTTAATCCCTCCAGCTGCACAAAGCATCCAAACTGCATTATGCTGGTAACTTTGCCATTGTAAATGTCCCCGATGGCAGGCTCTTCTGGGGGAGGACGGTCCACATGCTTATCCCGCCATCTGTCCAGGTTCCTCTCCCCATACTTGTCCCGGTCCTTCCTGTCTTTGGGGGGACTCTGACTTCTGCTCCTGGACCGATACCTTGACTTCCCTTTATTCCTTTCCCAGGTCCTGGAACGCGACCGAGAGCGGGACCGGTGTCTCCTCTTGTGTTCTCTATCACGGTCTCGCTCCCGCTCTCGGTCACGGTCGCGGCTTCGGCTCCGCTTCTTCTTCTTTGCCTTGTCCCTAACAAATCAACAAACAACTATTTGAAAAAGAAACCAGTGCAGTTTCATTTCTGCATTCTGCACCTAGCACAGTGCCACACACATCAGGAGCCTACAAAGTGTGGAACTGAATGAGAGTTTCCCTAACTACAACAACCCCTACAGGCCAGTAAAAGATGAGGTCACAAACATTCAGCCTCTTTCAAGCCAGATTTCTATCTTATGAATGACTTGGCATCTCCTGCCTAAGTACTCTTTGCAGGGAGCAATGAAATACATCTAACTATGTGGTACATGGCCAGCCTAGATTCTGTAAACTTGCCCAAAATTTTGCTTAGCTGGTCCACAAAATTCAACTATTACAGTACCCTAAACCTCCAAAGGATAAGACACTAAGGACAAACCGGTGCTCAGCATCTCTTTGCTTCTCCTGGCCCGCTGCACTGGGCATTAAGGCCTCCAGTTCTTTCAGGACATCCACAGCAACTTTCACATCATCTTCATCCAGCATGGTCTACAACAGCAGAGGCCAGCAAAGTTAGAGAAGATGATCATGTGAGAATCTGCACTCTAGGTCCATCTATAAACCTGACAGCCCCTACATCACTAACCACTTATGGGAAGGAAGCAGAAGCAGGTGGAAATTTCCAACACAATTTGAGAGAGAGGCAAAAGGAATGCACAAAGGCTCTTAGAAGTCACTGCTACATTTAGCAAATTCCCTTTGCCCTTCATACAAGCTCACAGAGGGCAATTAGCTATCACCTCTCCTGTTAAAGCATTGTGTGATGATTATAAATTGAAAATAAATGTTAAGGGGTGCCTGGGTGGTTCAGTCAGTTAAAGCATCTGCCTTCAGCTCAGGTCAGAACTCAGGGTCCCGGGAGCAAGCCCAACTTTGGGCTCCCTGCTCAGCAGGGAGTCTGTTTCTCCCTCTTCCTCTGCTCTTCCCCTGGCTAGTGCACTAGCTCTCTCTCAAATTAATAAAATCTTAAAAAATAATATGTGAAAATCCCCAGTGATAAAAGAAATTCTGCTCATCACAGGTATGAAAGAACACTAGCCAAAAAAATAAACAAATAATTTTGCTAAATAAAAATCAAAACACTTAAAAAATTAGACCCTTTAACATGTAATAGAGAAAAAAAAAATCGAATTTCACATATCAGGTATCTGTTCTAGTACCTTAAGCTGTTTCATACTTATTCCATATCCCTAATTATGGCTTCCCACAATTCTCAACACCACTTCCCTGAAACATCATTCTCTGAACATAGTACATGCTCAGAGAACAGCCCAACACTTTTAGTTTGAAAAATATAATGAACATAAACTTAAAACTAGGAACTAATGAGACAAAGCAAAGGGACACGGAGGAGAAATACCCAGTGATAGCAGAGATTCTCAAAATGGGATCAGTACCCGGACAGAAGGGTTGTCTGGTTGGCAAAGGACCGGGAAGAGTTCCTTTAGCTTTTCTTTTCCGGTTTTGGGTTTAACAACTGGATCTTGTTTTCATCAAAGATAAAGAAGTTAAAAAAAAAAAAAGATTTAATATTTTAAACAAAGAACCTCAGTATCAGATTTGCATCCAACTAAAAACTGAACATGACATTTTTCTACATATTATTCATACACATTACTATAAACATAATTTAATTTCCTAAAAATAACACTGATGACAAAACCCTCAACAAACTATCTGCGCATGTGGTGGGGGTGTGGAGGGGATACATCAGAATTCATTTGGTTTATTATGTCTTATGAGTTTAATTTTAAATCATTTGGAAAATTTTACTAGATTGTATACTTGACCCAGCAGCTGCTAGGGAAAGAACACAATCTACAGGTACGCCTAGGTGGCTCAGCAGTTGAGTGTCTGCCTTCGGCTCAGGGTGTGATCCTGGGGTCGATCAAGTCCTGCATCAGGCTCCTTGTGGGGAGCCTGCTTCTCCCTCTGCTTCTGTCTCTGCCCTCTCTGTGTGGCTCTCATGAATAAATAAATAATCTTAAAAAAAAAAAAAAGGAACACAGTCTATAGGATGCTCACATTCTAAACCATTCTGGAGGCTAAGCACAGCCAGATGTTCTACTCACCTTTGCTAGTAGAAGGCTTTGCTGGAGGCCGCATGGTTTGTATGAGGCGCAGCAAGTTACTAATAAGAGAATCCTTTGAAAAGAAACAGAAAAATTACCAACCCTTAAATCAGTGCTTAAAAACACTTAAAAAAGGGGCACCTGGGTGGTACCTGACTCTTTTGATTCTGCTCAGGTCATGATCTCAAGGTTGGGAGACTGAGCCCCATGCTGGGCTCCATGCTCAACACAGGGTTAAGACTCTCTCTCTCTCTAACCTGGGGGCCCTCTCCTGCCCATCCACCCCCCAACACACACACAGCTCAAGTGCTCTCTAAAATAAATACATCTTTAAAAAAAAAAAAAAACTAAGAAAAGGTGATTGTTACCTGAATGGAGGCAACTGAAACAATGAAACACAGAGTTTCAACTTGATAGGCATGAACCTAGCAAAGTAGCTTCAGAGAAAGTTAATATTTAGGACTCTTTGGGGGAGGGGAAAGTAATTCAGTTCCAGTCAACCGTTTTTATTTTCTACCATTGAGAACTACCTCCAAAACCTAGACTCTTTTGTTTTTGACTTCATAGAACAAGAATATAAACACTCATAAAAGGCTTAACGATGGAAATCCTGCCCCATTTTCCTAGAAAAGTGTCACAGGAAATCCGGTTAAATTACCACTGCTCAGTGGCATGAAACATTACACACTTAATGGTTTCTTTGATTGGTATGTACAAATTATCTCCCTTTTCCATCAAAATCCTATGTGAAATCCTATCAAAATTTAAATTTTTTTTTTAATTTATTATTTATTTATGATAGGCACACAGTGAGAGAGAGAGAGGCAGAGACACAGGCAGAGGGAGAAGCAGGCTCCATGCACCGGGAGCCCGACGTGGGATTCGATCCCGGGTCTCCAGGATCGTGCCCCGGGCCAAAGGCAGGCGCCAAACTGCTGCGCCACCCAGGGATCCCAAATCCTATCAAAATTTAAATTCAATAGTGACATTAAAACGAAACCGGGGTCTCCAAGAACACATACCGTGAATTCAGCACCATTTTTGACCAGAGAAGCCTTAAAAGTATCAAAGGTGGTATTTTTCTCAGCCAGACTGATCACGAATTCAGCTGAAGAGGAGAAAAGGAATTAAAACTGGAGTGGAGACAAGCAAAAAAGTACTTTCAAGTACATTAAAAGCAAAACCAATTAGCCTATCTACCAGTCATAAAAACCAAAGAGTCCCATCAAGTGAGAGTCAAATAAGAGAATTTAGAGTACCAAGATTATCTACGTATGTTCCAGTTAATTTTTCGAAATGCAAAGATATTAATACAGAAAGGCTCAGTGGGCCCTTCAGTGCATCTAAGGGAGAAATATCTCCCTGTCCCAGATCATCGTACTCTTCTCATGAGACTACTAGCTGTGTGCATTGCCATACAGACTCCAGAGGTATCAATGCCCAAAAGCAAGAGCCCTCTCCCTCCCACTGCCATGGATGCACACAGTAGGATGCTTTCAGGTAGGTCTGACCCAATCCATCTACGAGAGCCAAGCAGCTGCTGGATGGTACAATCTCCAAGTGGATCAAAGACTCACTTGCCCCCCAGATTTTTCTCTACAAACCTGCCCAGTGTCTGAAATTTCTAATATTTGAGCTATTTATTAAGAGACTTTTGGGAGAGACGTGCATTTTATGAGGGCTGAGATAAGCCTCACACGGTGAGCCCCACAAGAAAATGGTTACTGATTTCATCCGGATTTTATTTTTTTTTAAGATTTTATTTATTTATTCATGAGAGATACAGAGAGACAGGCAGAGATATAGGCAGAGGGAGAAGCAGTCTCCTTGCAGAGAGCCTGACGTAGGACTCGATCCCAGGACCCCAGGATCACACCCTGTGCCAAAAGCACTCAACCACTGAGCCACCCGGATGCCCCTCAAGAGACTATTCCAAAGCAATCAGCAGCACATTCATACTGCAGCTGTCATTAATCAGGGTTTTTTTAAATTTTCAGAATTATAAGGGGACATCATTAAATTAACTGAACTACCAAAGATGAATTAGTGAGTCAGATTTTTTTTTAAGTGAGCTCTACACCCAACGTGGGGCTAGAAATCATGACCTGGACATCAAGAGTCACACAGCTCTACCAACTGAGCTAGCCAGGTGCCCCAAAGATCAATTAGTGATTAAAAACAAGTTCAATGCTGAAAAGCAGGAACAATAATGACACCGATGTAAATGATAATACATCAGGGTGCCTCGGTGACTCATTCGGGTTAACCATCTGACTCTTGATTTTGGCTCAGGTCATGATCTCAGGGTGGTGAGATCAAGCCCTGTCAGGCTCCACGTGGGGGTGTGGAGCCTGCTTTAGTCTCTTTCTCCCTCCCCTCTGCCCCTTATTTCCCTTAAAAAAAAAATTTAATTTTAAAAAGATAACATATTAAGACCAAAATCAAAAGAATGAAGTCAATAAATAAAATATAAAAGTAGCAAATATAGGGACACCTGGGTGGCTCAGTGGTTGAGCACCTCCCTTCAGCCCAGGGCGTGATCCTGGAGTACTAGGATCAAGTCCCACATCAGGCTCCCTGCATGGAGCCTGCTTCTCCCTCTGCCTATGTCTCTGCCTCTCTGTGCCTTTCATGAATAAATAAATAAAATCTTAAAAAAAAAATTAGTAAATATATACCTTTTTGTTATTAAATCCACTTTGGCAATTTAGTTTCAACAGAACAATACTATCACATTTTTCCAACTTTAGTAATTTTAACATTACTGATTTTATAATTCTATGTTCAACACTGTGATATTGTGATTTATTATAAGAAGAAATATGTGTTTGGTCTTCATCCCCTTTCCAGGCACAGCACTCCTAAAACTTGGAATTTCTGCAGTGCAAAGAGTGAAAAAGGTCTTTTGTTACATTAAGGAGATGACTTTAGGAAAGCCCCTATATAAGGGTGAGGCTGGAGGCTGGCTGCCAGGGAAACTAATTAGCAGATTACAGACTGGAACTTTCAGCCCTACCCCTGACCTCTGGAGAGGGGGAAGGGGCTGGAGATTGAGTTCGCTGACCAATGGCCAATGATTTAATCAACTATGCCAGTTTTTTTCAATTAGCCCTATTATAACAAAGCCTCCACAAACACCCAAAAGGACTGGGTTTGGTGAGCTTCTAGGTAGGTGAACATACGGAGATTTGAGGATAGTGGGGCATTCAGAGAGCATGGAAGCTCCTCAATCTTTCCCACATACTTTGCCCTACGTCTCTCTTCCATTTGGTTGTCCCTGAGTTATATCCTTTTATAATAAGCCGGTAATCTAGGAAGTAAAATGTTAGCTGCTCTAGCAAATTAATCAAACCCAAGGAGGGGGGAGGGTCATTGGAACCTCTGATCTACAGTGACTTGAGTCAGCACAAGTTGACAACCTCATCTTGCAAATAGCAACTAAAGTTTGGGGTGGGGCAGTATTACAGGTCTGAGTCTTTAACCTGGGGCATCTGATGCTATTTTCAGGAAGCAGATATTTTCAATATCAAAACACAGTTCAATGTAGTACCAGTTAGTGTCATAGCACTGCTTAGCAATACTGGAAAAAACACATCATAACTGGTGTCAGGGGTGCCTGGCTGGCTCAATCGGAAGAGCATGAGACTCCTGATCTCAGGTTCGTGAGTTCAAGCTCCACATTGGGCATAGAGATTACTTAAATACATATTTTAAATAAATAAATAAATCGTGTGAACTACAAACAGAAAAAAGCATTATTTGTGGTTTACTTCCAAATTAAATGGAGTCTTTATACACAAGCTAGAAAATTTTGGAGTTTATACCTCACTTTATTTTTGTATATAATGAGATTAACATCAAAACAATTTAACACTGGCTTGGTAAATGTTTGCTGAATGAAGGAACAGACAACCTAGGTAGCAAACGACAAGAGTGCCACTTATCACCATTTAAAAGAGAAGGAGAAGGGCAGCCCAGGTGGCTCGGCGGTTTAGCACTGCCTTGGGCCTAGGGCCTGATCCTGAAGACCTGGGATCGAGTCCCGCGTCAGGCTCCCTGCATGGAGCCCGCTTCTGCCTCTGCCTGTGTCTCTGCTTCTCTCTGTATGTCTCTCATGAATAAATAAATTTTAAAAATCTTTAAAATAAAAAGAGAAGGAGAATAAGAAAAAATGATACAAGACAAACGTATCTTGACTGGGAAGCAATAAAAGAATGAACTAAAACATACCGGCAGCAGGGCATCTTTCTGTGTGCTACATGGTAACCCCAAGAAAAAAAAATCATCATTTCCATTCCACAGATGAGAAAAACAGCTTCAGAGAAATTACTCAAGGTCACACATCTAACCTCCCTGACCCCTTTCATCACAAGCCCTTTCCTTCCATCCCTCCAGCTGATGATTTCATCTTCATTTAGAAAAATAGAACAATTAAATCGAAGTGTCTCCCCCACCTTTCCTACCACCAATCCCTAAACCTATCTGCATCTACAACCACATTCTCTGTCCTCCTTCCTATTAAAATGGATCAAGCATCCCTTTACCTACCAAAGGTCAATCCCTCCACTCATACCCTTGATTCCATCTATCCCGTTGCTTTCACAAGGACTCCACCTGCCTGTGGCCTTAGCTCTGGGCCCCTAGCCTTTCTCAGTTCCTCGTTTTGGGTTCTCCACATGAACTTTCTGTCCCCAGACCCCTAAGAAGTGGTTGAGAACAGTTAAAGGCTGACTTCAAAAGACTTGGATTCCAGATCAGGCTCACATTTGAGATGTAATTTTGAGAGGGATTAATCACTCGGAGTCTTGTTTTCTTCACCGAAAAAAAAAAAACAACACAACAGATAATAACCATCTCATAGGGTCGCGTGATGACCAAGTAAGATAATATAAGTAAGGCATTGTGCATAATATCTGCCCTGTCAACAAATGTCGGCCATTATTATCATCATTACGATGCGGCGGCGGCGGCGGCGGCGGCTGTTAGCGCTGTTTAACTAGGTTGGGACGGGGACAGGGGAAAGCGCAAGAGCGATAGCCGCTCGGTTTCACCGAGGGCTCTGGGCAATGGTTTCTAACAGTTCAGCCCGGAGAGTCCTCATGTGGGGCCACGGCCGCGGGTTCCCTGGGCCCGTGTGACTGCGACAGAGAGAGAAAGAGACTCACAGGGACACACGTACTCAGCCCATCAACCCCATTTCTGCTTCCGCTTTCCTCCACTCGCAGGGGCCTCTCCGGGCTTACCCAGATCCTTGTCGTTGATCCCCAGGTGATTGTCCAGCTCGGTGCAAACTTTCGACACTAAAGACAGATACTCAAGTTTGGCGAGTTCTTCCGCGGGACCCAGCTCTGTGCCGGTTACGGCTCCCGCCACGGCCACCGCCACCGCCACCGCCATGGCTACAGCCGCCGCCACTCCACTTGACTGCCGGCCTTCGGAGCTATTCCGGGCCTGCTCCGGTTTCCACTTCCGGGTCGGCGCAGGCCCCCTTTTGTTTACAGTACATTATAAACTAAAGGAACTTCCCATGTCGCAACCGAAGAACCATAGAGATCACACAGGAAGTGCTTAAGGAAGGGACGGGCAAGGGGGTTTACGCTGCACGCCGGCAGCGTCCTCTACTGGCCGGCAAGCTTCTCCGTCGACTCTCAGACCCGGGAACCTTCCGTCTTCGCGCTCTCCCGCCCGACGTCGGCAGAGGGCGACCGTGGCCTGCGCAAGGGGCGCCGGGGAGGCCACGCCCCTCACCCCTGGCGCGCCTGCGCCTGCGCCTGCGCCTTGAAGAAGGAATCTCCGATTCAATCCTGGGAAACGCAGAACTGGCTTTACAGCGGCTCCCTCTGTTCCCCGGGTTTTTTTTGCTTCTTCGTGGCTCGCGACCATCTCGAGCGATTCTGTGACAAATCAGCAGGCGATAGTCTAGTTCTGTTAGTAGTTCATTGTATAGGTGAGGAAACTGACATTTCGACTATCTAGCTAAGTGACATTGGCCAAATTAATTTGGGGGCGGCTTAGTTTTTTTAATCTATAAACTGGGATAATGTAACTGGGTTTAGGTGATGACTAAATAAGATACCTGTGCAAGGAATCTGGGGCACCTGGGTGGCTCAGTGGTGAACATCTGCCTTCAGCTCAGGTCGTGGTTCTGGGGTCCTGGGATCGAGTCCCACATGGGGCTCCCTGCAGGGAGCCTGCTTCTCCCTCTGCCTGCGTCTCTGCCTCTCTGTGTGCCTCTCATGAATAAGTAAATAAAATCTTTTTTTTTTAATTGTGCAAGAAACCTTGGGATAGTAAACATGCTATAAATGCCAGTTACTGTCATCCTAAGGGTGAGACAAAGATCACTGTAAAATTCGTCTGTCGGGTACAGATCCCCTCAGTCTGAGATCCCAGGGAGCTACGTGGCTCACCTCTTGTGAAGACGGCTTCTCAACTCCGGATTTTCCCGTGCCAGTACCCTCAGAACTTGTGCGCGCCCAGTAGCCCCTGTGCTGTGAACCTAGGGTCCTAGGCTCGGGTCTCCCAACTTCTGCTTCTGATCTTTCTCCTTTGCGACAACCCTAAGGTGAGGTGAGGAATTTTCCCACGCTGCACTGCTGTGTGATGAATAAGGAATCGAAGGCACCCCAGAGTGAGTGGCCCTCCAATCTAGCAAAAGAGAGGAAATCAGACCCTTTAGCTTTTACCTTCAGGCTACGCTGCTGCACCTTTGGACTCTGTCCCTCCCTCATCCCCCCATGGACTGCAAAAATGACAGAGAAACCCCTTGAGCAGTCGTTCCCACTGACTCCAAGAGCTCCATGTTTCCAGGTTCCTAAGGAATCAGTACTGCACTGATTCTTCTTCCTCCTGAATGGAAAAGAAAATCCTGCTCTTGACTCAATGTGCTCAACTGGCGAGTGTGGAGTTAGGATATTAGGGATGTATTCCATTTCACTTCCTTTCTCTGTGCTTTTTTGCCTTTAAAATTTTTGCATTTATATTCTGCTTTTCTCCAGTATTTAACTGGAAGGGAAGGGAAACATGGAGTTTGTTTTGTCTTAAAAGTGCTATGAAAAAAAAAAGCTATTGGGGAAAAGGCTCTAGAACTACAACTGGTGGTGGTAGTAGTTAGTAGCAGTAAATACCGTAAGAACTGTTAGGATCGGGGTGGCTGGGTTGCTCAGTCTGTTGAGTGCCTGCCTTTGACTCGGGTCTTGATCCTGGGGTCCTGGGATATCAGGCTCCCTATTGGGTATGGGCTCTGTTTCTCCCTCTCCCTCTGTCCCCACCCCACTTGTGCTCTCTATCTCTCTAAAAAAATAAATAAAATCTTTTTTTAAAAAAATTCTCCCTCTCTTTCTGTACCTCCACCCCCAAGCGCGCTTTCTCTCTCAAAAAAATTAAATTAAAAATAAAGTTTAACTTTTAGCACTCTTAGGATTATTTGGGGAAATATTGAACACACAACTTAATAGTAAATACTAACAGCAAAACTTATTAAATTTTATTTACACATAAATGTTTTCAGGAGTCCAAGTTTTTTACATAATATACATATTTCCTATAACACCAAGGAATTTTTTGAAGCCAAGGGAAAAGAAATAAAAGCACAGATAATGGATAACTTGACAGCCCAAACATGGATGCACATGGAACACTTTTATCCCCTTAAGAGACACTGAATTAAATGCAGGCTCCAGTGAATGCAAGAGTGAATAACCAAGAGTGAACCAAGAGTGAATGCATTCTAATTGTCTTTTGGTTATAATATATATATATATATATATATATTAATATTATATGAGATACAATTAATTGCCTGTTATTATTATATTGCTTTCCTTGGATAGCTTCCATGTGGCCCCTCTAACACAGCCATTGACAGTTCCCAGTAAATAATTTACCTTCACCAGAAAATATATTAAAACAAATAGTCTATGCTTAGTGACCACCCACACTACCCATTGTGGTAAGAAATGATTTTCCACCACCTTCTTTGTTGTAACAAGGACTTTGCTTTGATGCCTATTCCTAGACTGATGTATGTGTCTGGCCCTAACCGCAGTCCCCACATTATTTTTGCTCTGTCCCCAAACTGGTCACAGCTGCTGGCATTTGGATAAGAAGTGGGGGAAGGTAGGAAGCAGAGAAGAAAGTACTGAACCCTTAGCAACCCCAGATTGGATGGAGGAGGGCAGAAATCACCTAAGTGTGTGAAGCAGAAAGGTGGCATCCTCTGGGAAGTTGGGAAGAGAAAATCACAGGACTTCCTGTCACAAAAAAAAAAAAAATGGTATTGCTGCAATCAAGACAGTCCTAGCTGTTTCTATTGGGGTAAAACTCCGATCTTAGGGGAAGCACCTCTGCTCTGAAAGGCAAAAAATATATATTTTTTAAAATTTTATTTGTTCATGAGAGACACACAGAGGCATAGACATAGGCAGAGGTAGAAAAGGCTTCCTTGTGGGAAGCCTGATACAGGACTTCATCCCAGGACCCCGGGATCATGGCCTGAACCAAAGGCAGACTCTCACCGGCTGAGCCACCCAGGTGTACCTGCTTCTAAGCATATTAACTGCCACTCAGCTATTATTGTTTTTTTTTTTTTAATTTATTTATGATAGTCACACACAGAGAGAGAGAGGCAGAGACATAGGCAGAGGGAGAAGCAGGCTCCATGCACCGGGAGACCGACGTGGGATTCGATCCCAGGTCTCCAGGATCCCACCCTGGGCCAAAGGCAGGTGCTAAACCGCTGCGCCACCCAGGGATCCCGCTATTATTGTCATTAATGCAGGGGGACTTTAGGGGGAAAAGTGGCACCTTCTTCACTGCTCCACTGGAGCCCTGACCTAGTCTAAAGACATTGATGAAAATGGCCTAATAAACCCTTTCATCTGAGGTCCTCTCAGATAGGGACAGGACCAGAAAAAAGCGAGGTAGTGAAACACCTCTTTGATTTTGCCCACAAATTCTTCTCAAATTTGAATCAATTCATCAAATGCATATGGAACATCTACTTTGGGTCTCAACACTTTAGTAGTTTCTGGAAAGGACCCTCAGGGATCTGGAAGGTGGTAGAAACCTATCAGGAAAGAACTAGAATACTCAAACTGCTGCACTCGTGGCTGGTGGCAGAGCTGTGTTTATAACTCTGGTCTCTGCTGCCTAAACATGAGGGCAGGTGATTGGAAGACAAAAACAAAGGAGGTCTGCTCCCTGTCATCTGGGGGCAGCTGGGGGAGGGGAGGTGCCTGACCAGGGCCAGAGCCATCTCACAGGGCAGTTTCTCCTGCTGCAATCTATTATTTGTCAGCCTTATCGTTTTATGCCCAGGTAAAGCCTCAATTTTGCCCTAAATGTCCCTGACCTGAAATTCCATCTCTTGTTAGGCCATCAACCTACCATCAGTAATAATGGATGCTTTGGCTACAAATTCTCCAAAGCTTTATAGTATTAGGCAAAAAATATTTCTTCTCAACAGGCTTCCCCCCCCCAAAAAAAAAAAAATCAAGTTTCCTCCTTCCTCACTTTCAGGGCTATCTTTTAAATATCAGGAAAAAAGGAAAAAAAAAAACAGACACCCAAACACCCTTATAATGTGAGCTTAGTTTAAAAAAAAAAATTTCTCCCATCTCCACATCCTTATCTTCTATGAGAATGGTAAGGAATTTTCACATATTTATTTATGAGTTAATCATCCTTTAAGTGACCCTGCTTCTTAAACTTAATTTAGGTTGGTTTTCTTATTTTGTTTAAGTTTGTTTATTTTTCAGCAATCTCTACACCCAATTTGGGGTTCGAACTCATGACCCCAAGATTAACAGTCACATGCTTTTCAGACTGAGCCAGCCAGGCACTCCTAGGTCAGTTTTCTTTTCTTTCTTTCTTTTCTTTTCTTTTCTTTTTCTTTTAAGATTTTATTTATTTGACAGAGAGAGAGAGAGAGAGAACACAAGCAAGTGGAGCGGCATGCAGAAGAAGAGGAAGAAGGAGACTTCCTGCCAAGCAGGGAGCCCAACGCAGGGCTTGATTCCAGGACCCCAGAACCATGACCTGAGCCAGAGGCAGATGCTTAATCATCTGAGCCACCCAGGCGCCCCTAAAAAGAATTTTTTTATTTTTTATTTTTTTTAAGATTTCATTTATTTATTCACGAGAGAAACAGAGAGAGAGGCAGAGACACAGGCAGAGGAAGAAGCAGGCTCCATGCAGGGAGCCGGACGTGGGACTTGACGCAAGGACAGACCCCGGCATCATGACCCGAGTCAAAGGCAGAGGCTCACCACTGAGCCAGTCAGGCACCCCAAAAGAAATTTTTATAAGTGAATATTACAAATATGGGCAACAAAGTGACAAGTTACATTAAGACTTCTTTTTTCTCGGGCAGCCCCGGTGGCGCAGCGGTTTAGCGCATTCAGCTCAGGGCAGATCCTGGAGTCCCGGGACCGGGACCGGGACCGAGTCCCACGTCCGGCTCCCTGCATGGAGCCTGCTTCTCCCTCTGCCTGTGTCTCTGCCTCTCTCTCTCTCTCTCTCTCTCTCTCTCTCTGTCTCTGTCTCTATGAATAAATAAATAATCTTTAAAAAGAAAAAAGACTTCTTTTTTCTCTAGTGATTTTTATAGCCTCTGTTTTCTGTTTGAGGTAATTCTTTAGGAACTTTAAAGGCTTTCCTCAGAAGAGATGGAAAAAACAAGCACAGCCAAGAAGTGTATTGATGAGAAGAGACCAGAATAAAAGGGCTGACATTCCGTTTGCAAGCCAAGCATGTAAACAGCTGTCCAGTTAGTCCAGAACCAAAACTCTGGGTTAATCTGCATGTTCTTGCCACTAACTCAAAGGAACTGCTCCTCTGGAAACTCCACTTCTTCCCCCAAATGAAGGAGGATGAGTTTCTAGCATGGCTTCCATCCAAAACCTGGAGTGCTTGGCAGAGCAAGCCGTACAAGACTCCTTCCCTGGCTCCCCAGAAGCTGAGCCTCTGGTAAAAGAGCTTTGATGAGAGCAGTAGCTGCTGCCCTGGTGTCAGAAGAGCTGCCTCTCAATTTGGGGTTTATAGCAATTATGGTGATTTATGCCTCTGGAGTGAAAATTAGCAATCTGGTGAGGTAACTAAAAATGAATGCATCTCTTCCTAGAGTTCACTCCACCCAGCTGAGCCACCAAATAAAACGAGCATATGGGGCAATTAAAGAGCCGAGCTCCTGCTCTCAGAGCTCAGCAGAACGGGACAGAGTTCAGGGGTCCAGGTTCCCCTGCCTGGTTCGATAATGATCACAAGTCCTAACAGGCATCCCCTTTGCCCCTCTATAGCGCCCCTAGTCCTGTTGTAAACACAAGCCTGTGGTTCCACCTTTCAGTCATTTGTTCCAGGACAGCTGTTTTACCCTCTTTTCTTGCAAATCGCTGAGAGGAAGGGGGAAGTAAGGATAAACCTCTATCACATGGGTATGTGTGGGGCAAAGATATTTTTTCTTCTTAGTCATATATTTGCCTTTACATGACCCAGAAAGACTGATCTTCCTTAACTTCCACAGCCCACACTCAAATATTGGTGTGAGTGGGACACCTAGGTGGCTCAGTGGGTTGTGCGTCTGACTTGTGATCATAGTTCAGGTCTTGATCTCAGGGTTGTGATTTCAAACCCCGAGTTGGGCTCCATGCTGGGTGTGAAGCCTAGTTTTTTAAAAAAAGAAATAAGTCAAATATTGGTGTGAGTAGAATTTATATGAAACTTTTTTTTAAAGATTTTATTTATTGGGATCCCTGGGTGGCGCAGCGGTTTGGCGCCTGCCTTTGGCCCAGGGCACGATCCTGGAGACCCGGGATCGAATCCCACATCAGGCTCCCAGTGCATGGAGCCTGCTTCTCCCTCTGCCTGTGTCTCTGCCTCTCTCTCTCTCTCTGTGACTATCATAAATAAATAAAAA